AAAAAAAAAAAAAAACACCCATTGCCTTTATGAGCTCAATATGCTGTGTAAACTTAACACAACAAAAAGGGAAATTTGTGTTTGGTAGTTTATTTGTTGTAACAATGCTTCACGGCAATAAAACCTACTAATTTCCTTTTAAATGGTGCCACATTTACTGTTGAAAGAGCAAGCGTTTGTGGGATGAACAGTAGAGCTGATTCTCACCAGTAGAGGTCGCTAGAGATCCGTGTTTCCAGCTCTCATCAAACAAAGTGAAATCAAAGTAAAATGTGAATGCTTGTTGCTGAAAGCTGCTAACTAAGCTGAAATACTTTGTTAAATTAACTGTTAGTGCAAGCTGAAATATATATATATAGATTTTTTTTCTTCTCTGACACTTTTGAGCAACTTGTAATATTTCCTGAGATGAACAGTCCAAGATGACTCCATCTTGCATARCCTGCACATATGCCATTTTTACATTATTTGTAAAACTGAACAAACATGTAAAATCACACATCATCAGKGCTTTATTTTCACCATAAATAAACAAAAAACAGGAAGGTACACATACAATCGATTCCTTTAAACTTATATAAATATAATGTACAAAATCAAAGTTCCTTTATGCTTTTTCTTCTTTTCTTTGGGAGACTTATTTCTGTTTTGAGAATAGAATAATGGTCCCAGCATGGCTTGAGCTCATATTTAAAACATGACCATGTTTTTTTTTCCTTCCTTTTTTTTCCAGAAATACCTTTGAACAAAGTCAGATGGCATCTTAACTAGTGTTTTGGCAGTGCAGGAACTGATATCTCTTCACAGACCTGATGTTACTTAGTTAACCAGGATCATCTCAGACTTCCATTAAAGTGCATTTAAATTAGTCTACATCAACTCTGAGAGGGATGTCAGCTTCCTCTGTTTGCTGTAGAGAAAAAATGTCTGTTTCTAGGTGTGGGGCTGGTTGACCTCCCAGTTTGAATATTTGACCCGGTTCGTGCAGGAGCAGCAGTGTGCCGGTCGCGGCAATGTCACCTGGAGGAACAAATCGCACAACATCAGCRTCCGACGCACAGAACATATATAATCAAGATAACCAAAAGTACAGTTTATGGTACCTGAGATTTGAGGACATTCAGCTCTCTGTGAAGTTTTTGACACCGCTTCTCAAGGTCCAGATACTTTCCCTTCAGCTTCTCTCGGTCTGCCCGCTCTTTCTTAAAGTCCTCCTTGTACAGTTCAGCCTAAACACATTAAACACATTAAATTCAAATAAGGTGATACATATGTCAGTAAAAAATAATGTGGGTTTAAATGGGTGTCCCAAAACAAGTTTTTCTCAAACGAGTATTAGTTTAGTACTGTATAAAGTCAGGGAGTTATTCAATGACAAAGCTCTGCTTGTGTTGTACAGTTCAATAATTGTTCCACATTTAATTTACTGTATTGAATTCTGGGGTAAAGCTTGCAAAACTATTACAAATCTGATTTTTGTTTTGCAGAAAAGAGCCATAAGAATTATCGCGAGAAAATATTACAACCATCTATCAAA